GTCTTCATTAATACTAGAACATTGCCCCACTAGTTCAAACCCAGCTACAACCCCCTCACACTTTGAATCTAACCTAAAGCTCTGTGAGTGAGCTCTACTAACTCTTGCCCTGGTACCCTTTTTCCCCTGTGGGACAGGGTCTAAACAACTATCCTTTCCCTCAAATGAAACAATAGATTGAGAGTCCTCCCTAGTCCACCATCCTTCAAGCCCTAGCGTGTTTCTCTTGGGCTTGTCCCTAACAGGCCCAATTATCTCCTCTTCCCCCTTTATATCTAGTTTAAAGCCCTGTCAATGAGCCCTGCTAACTCCTGCCCCAGAAACCTTTCCCCCCCTCTGGAACTGGTGTATCCCACCTGCCACCAGCAAACCAGGTGTCTCATATAGCAGCCCATGACTGAAAAATCCAAAACCCTGTCTTTGGCAGCAGTCACATAACCATACACTAATCTGCAGACTTTTCCTATTTATCTCTTCACCCTTGTTCGTAACAGGTATGGAGGCAAACACCACTTGCCCTCCAGACCCTCTAACCAGCTGTCCCAGGGCCCTGAAGTCTCTCTTCATTGCCCTTGCCCTCCTTGTAATAGTTTCATCACTGCCAACCTGAAAAACCAGCAGCGGATAGTAGTCAGAGGGTTGCACCAGATCAGAGAGTTTCCTTTTAACATCTCTAATCTGAGCCCCAGGTAGGCAGCAGATTTCCCTGTGGGATGGATCAGGTCGACAAATGGGCCCTTCTGCTCCCCTCAGAAGGGAGTCACCCACCACAAATACTCTTCTTTTCTTCTTGGTTGAGGAAGTTCTAAGGCATGGGGGTGAGTGACAAGCCCTAGGTGACTCACTAGATGGATCTACGCCTCCATCTCCATTTACCTGGTCCTGTATTTCCAAGACCTCATACCTGTTATTCAAGGGCAACTGGGAGGGAAAAAGGGATTGCAAGGTTTTTCGCTTACCTCTCCGAGGAGCGACCTCCCTCCATACCTCCTTGTCCCTTAAGTCCACTGCTTCTATCTGATGGTAGGAGGGAAGGGGATCCATCACTTGTTCAACCACTTCCCTCTGCCCTTGCCTTAGGGTGTGGCTCCACCAATCTATTTCACTTTCACACTCTCTGATAGCTCTCAATCTTTCTACCTCCTCCCTCAGTTCAGCCACCTGCCTGAGCAGATCATTTATTTACTCACACACGCACACAAGCGGTGTCACTGGCTCTCTCCAGTAGAAGTGCTGGGCTCAGGCATTTACTGCAGCCAGAGACCTGCACGGTCGCATGTCTGCAGGAAAGCTCAGTCTGGATACCCACATTATTCCTCACTACAGCCTTTGATTTTCTTGTGACCATGATCTATCTGGTCGACCGGTCCGTCTATGTCTCTCCGCACAGGCAAGCAGTCCTTCCTCCTCCTGCGCTCCAGGCGAGTCCTCTTGAGCAGGCGGTCACCCCACTCGCCTGCCCGCGCAAACTGCCTCGCCACACTCCTGGTCGCTCGCGCTGCCGGGGTAGGTTTTTAACCACTCACAGTTGGTGCCGCTCCTCCTAGCCCTGCCCCCGGTGAGTCAGCTGCTCGCGAGAGCTGAGCTGCCGGCTCCTGGGCAAGTCCTGTTGAGGACTTGAGGCTCCCTCTTCGGTGGCTCTTGTCAGTCTGAGGTGAGGCTCCTGGATGCTGATCTCACCCCACTCTACTCCGGTGTTGCAGGCATCCTCTCTCAAGCTACTCACCCCAGCAATATAACCCACTTTTATATATATATAAACTCCATGCAGTCTTCCCTACCCTGTGTTTGTGCTTAGGATTGCCCCACCCCAGGGCAGGACCTTGCGCTTCACATTGTTGAAATTCAAGAGGTTTTCATGGGTGGGCCCAACTCCTCAAAGCTGTCAAGGTCTCTCTGGATGGCATCCTCTCCAGCTAGCATATCAACTGCACCACTCAGCTTGGTGTCATCTGCAGACTCACAGGGATGCACCAAATCCATTATGTCATTGATTAAGCTATTAATTAATACTGGTCCCAGAGTGGACCCTTGAGGGACACCACTTATTATTAGTTTCTGCTTGGACATTGAGCCAATAACTAAATTTTGGATATGGCCATCAAGATAATTCCTTATCCACATAACAGTCAATCCATCATAACTGTTATTTTTCCAATTCAGTGGCAAGAATCTTGTGGGAGACCATATCAAAGGCCTTACAGAACTCTAGGTAGATGACTTCTTCCCTTCCTCCGTTGTCCCCTGATGCAGTCACTCCATCGTAGAAGGCTGCTAGATTAGCCAGGTACAATTTACTCTTGCTGATGCCAAATTGTCTGTCTTTAGGTCAACAAGTCTCAGTTTATTAGAGATCAAACTTGAAATTATAAAATACTTCTCCCTGCAGGTATTGATTTGTCACAGAGTGATGCTCATCTTGATTTAGATAAATAATTGGTCAGCGTATTCTTGAACAACCTATTCACCTTCTAAATCTCATCAGCTGTGCTGTTTTGTGATAAAGTGTTGACATGTACCTTTGTAAGTAGTGGTGATGTAAGTGGGCAGAGAGATGCAAAGGACATGGTTCTGCTCTTGACTAATATGCATAGGCAGAAGGCCCTTTAGCATACAGTTCAGAAATGACACACACCTGTGCTTTTAGTCTTTTGCTTATTTTCATTCAAGTTACTTCTGCCACTGTCAGATTGAATTTCAAAGTGTATTGGTAAGATTCACCATTGCATCTACTTTCCATAAGAGATTAGGTACTAATAAAGAAAGTAGTATTTGTACTTGCACACACTAGTGAGGAATTATAATTTTTCCTCTGACCTTTATATTTGTTCGTATCTTCTGCAGTCAAATAATTTGATTTACATATATGTTTAGCAGTGGGTTTTCCTTTCTTTCATGCTTTTGTCATTGAATATCACATAAAATGGCTTCGTTTGGAAAATTAATTTGAATATGGACAACTTGTTGAGTCTAGATCCTCACTTGGAAACCTCTGTTCTGTCAGACTTTTTGGATATAGGGGTATGATAAATTCACAAAAGGCTGTTTTGCAAAACTTGTGTTATACTCCAGATTGTATGTACAGGCACAAGTATAACACACTTGGAATTACCATAAGTATACTGAGAGTACAAATTAAAGAAGTTCACCAGATAAATAAAAATATACATTTAAGATTATAACACAGGGAAACTAGGTATTACTATTGATCAAGGTCCATAATATCTAGAATGTGTCAACAGGCATATCTGCTTTGAAATGTTGGTAGTCCATAATATCTAGAATGTGTCAACAGGCATATCTGCTTTGAAATGTTGGTCTGTCATGTCAACATAATTACTTCAGTTTGCATCATAGGAATATTCCTCCTCTGAATATATCTCAACGTTCTTAGATAAACCTTTTACTTCATGTTAACTTTAAAAAACAGAAAAAAAAAATCCTCCTATGCAGCAGCCCATCATTAACTGATAGAAAATACTTTCATAATCATGTGGTAATAGTGTGAGGAATAAGAAAGTGTGAAAATGAGAAGAAGGGAAAAAAACCTCCAATCATACTTAAAATTTGGGTCATGGTTCTTGTTTACAGAATAAATAGTATATTATTTATGCATTCTGCATATCATTCAAGAAAGTGGATATCTAATTATAGGTGATCCCCTATCAGAAAACCCTGTAAAAAATGTTCTTTAAAGAAACAAGCATGTAATCTATTTAATTATTACTTTAGTTTTCTTACCTGCATAGAACCATTGCACACAAGTACACACCTATTGAATAAAAGGGCAAAAAGAATTTGAAGGATCATAACTCTAAAATAAGAAGAAATTGTTCAGCTAGTCTTGAAATAAGCAGTTTTAAACAAATAAAAAGAAAGCACCACACCTGACTTCACATATAATTTAAAAAGTTTATAACAATGCTCTATTAGCCTGGTCAACTGGCTGATAATAATGAAATCTAACATACCACTTGTGTTAACACAGATTCTGTCTGTTTTCAAACATTTCAATTAATTACTTTTTTGCTGTAGGTCTTGATATGTAGTAATATCAGAGCATGGGCTGACTTTATGCTTAGTTAATCTGGCATTAAATAAGATTTGGCAGATGTACCAACCACAAACAGAAGGGCAAAATCAGAAAAGCCTCATCTCAGGATGGAATACAGCTGAAAGAGGACATAAAAAGCAAAGTCATGAGGAAGACTGAGGACTGATAGTGAATACAGAACAACAGCTGTTCACATACAGCTCTGAGGCTGAATTTTTGACATCCTTTGACCACTGGTTTTGTTTCGACTGTATACATATGCATGTTTTATTTCTCTATATATGTACAGACACATTCAAATTTTATATATGTATACAATTCATGTAGATCTATGTATAAATTAGGAAAATTATTATGGTAATGGAAGCATTGAGAAGAAAGATTGAAGTATCAGCTGTGTATCAAACTTCAGAGTGTCAGTCCATGGGATTGACACTAATAAATAACACACACTCCCAATTAGCTCTTAATCACTGTCAGGCATTCTTATTCCTTATGCAAAGTTATAGCCCTTAAAAAATCCTACAGTAAAATAGTTCTACATATATGATGACCTAGAACTGATGCGGGTTGTCGGCAGTGTGATATAGTCAAACTGCCGGGCCTCCCCATATTTATACTTCAACCATTGTCCTCCATACCAAAGAGGCTTTAACCACCCCCACAGGGCATTTGCCACCATCCATGAGTCAGTATAGACGTAAAGTACTGGCCACTTTTCTCATTCAGCAATGTCCAGGGCCAACTGGATGGCTTTCACCTCAGCAAACTGACTCTATTCACCCTCTCCTTCAGCAGTTTCTGCAACTTGTCATCCAGGACTCCATACAGCTGCCTTCCATCTCCGATGCTTTCCCACAATACGGCAAGACCCGTCAGTAAACAAGGCATACTGCTTTTCACTTTCTGACAGTTTATTATATGTTGGGGCCTCTTCAGCACGCACCACCTCCTCCTGTGGTGACATTCCAAAATCTTTGCCCTCTGGCCAGTCCATGATGACGTCTAGAATGCCTGGATGACTGGGATTTCCTATTCGAGTTCGTTGTGTAATTAGTGCAGCCCATTTACTCCATGTAGCATCAGTTGCATGATGTGTAGAGGAGACCCTGCCTTTGAACATCCAGCCCAGCATGGGCAACCGGGGTGCCAGGAGGAGCTGTGCTTCAGTGCCCATCAGATCCGAAGCAGCTCGAACCCCTTCATAGGCTGCCAGTATCTCTTTCTCAGTTGGGGTATAGCTGGCCTCAGATCCTTTGTATCCCCAACTCCAAAAGCCGAGGGGTCGACCTCGAGTCTCCCCTGGAGCTTTCTGCCAGAGGCTCCAGGTAGGACCGTTCTCCCCAGCTGCAGTGGACAGTACATTTTTTACATCTGGCCCGGTCCGGACTGGTCCAAGGGCTACTGCATGAACTATCTCGCGTTTAATTTGCTTAAAGGCTTGTTGTTGCTCAGGGCCCCATTTAAAATCCTTCTTCTTCCGGGTCACATGATAGAGAGGGCTTACAATCGAACTGCAATTTGGGATGTGCATTCTCCAGAACCCCACAGCACCCAAGAAAGCTTGCGTTTCTTTCTTATTAGTTGGTGGAGACATTGCTGTTATCTTGTTGATCACATCTGTGGGGATCTGTCTACGTCCATCTTGCCATTTTATTCCCAAAAATTGAATCTCCTGTGCAGGTCCCTTGACCTTACTCCGTTTTATGGCAAAACCGGCTTTCAGCAGGATTTGGATTATTTTCCTCCCTTTCTCAAAGACTTCTTCCGCTGTATCGCCCCACACAATAATGTCATCAATGTATTGCAGGTGTTCTGGAGCTTGCCCCTGTTCCAGTGCCGTCTGGATCAGTCCATGGCAAATGGTAGGGCTGTGTTTCTACCCCTGGGGCAGTCGGTTCCAAGTGAACTGGACACCCCTCCAAGTAAAAGCAAACTGTGGCCTGCACTCTGCTGCCAAAGGAATTGAGAAAAATGCATTGGCAATATCAATCGTGGCATACCACTTGGCTGCCTTTGACTCTAATTCATACTGAAGTTCTAGCATGTCCGGTACGGCATCACTCAATGGTGGTGTGACTTCATTCAGGCCACGATAGTCTACTGTTAGTCTCCATTCTCCATTAGACTTTCGCACTGGCCATATGGGGCTATTAAAGGGCGAGCGGGTCCTGCTGATCACTCCCTGACTCTCCAGTCTACGGATCAGCTGATGGATGGGAATCAGGGAGTCTCGGTTGGTGCGATATTGCTGCCGGTGCACTGTTGTGGTCACAATTGGCACTTGTTGTTCTTCAACTTTCAGCAACCCCACAGCAGAAGGATCTTCTGAGAGACCAGGCAAGGTGGACAGCTGCTCAATTTCCTCAGTCTCCAAAGCAGCAATACCAAAAGCCCACCGGTACCCTTTTGGGTCTTTGAAGTACCCTCTCTTGAGGTAATCTATGCCAAGGACCAGTCACAATAGGGTGCTTTCGCCATTCCCTCCCAGTCAGGCTGATTTCAGCCTCCTGTACAGTCAACTCTTGGGATCCTCCTGTCACTCCAGAAATATAGATGGGTTCCACCCCTTGACAGCTTGATGGCATCAGGGTACACTGTGCACCGGTATCTACTAGAGCCTTATACTTCTGTGAGACTGATGTGCCAGGCCATCTGATCCACACAGTCCAGTAAATCTGATTGTCCCCTACCTCCACCTGGCTGGAGGCAGGGCCCCTCTAATGGTCATCACAGCGTTGGACACTTAAGTCGTGTTGAAAGGGATTATTCTTCATTATCACAGGAGCTGGAGTAAAATCAGCTCTTCCACTCCATCTGGGAAACTGCTCACCAGAGACTGAAGCCGTAGCTCGCATGGGACGATCAGTCTTGGCCCTTGCTCAGTTCACTCACCCATTCCTCCAAAGCCGAAGTAGGTTTTCCATCCCACTTTGTCATGTCTTCTCCGTGATCCAGCAGGTAAAACCATAGGATACCCTGTGGCGTATACCTCCTGTATCTCCTCTCTCGAACAATAGGACGCCTTTTGTTAATAGCTGAGACGTGTGTTGGTACACGTGACGAGCTGGACAAATCAGATGGATTGTCCCTCAATTGTTTGAGGTCCTGGGACAGTTTTTCCACAGCTGAGATGATGGAAGGGGTGAGATTGTCTTCGAACTCTCAGAGTTTATGAACCATTTCATCCACTGTTAGTGGTACTATGTTATTCCAGGTTACTGTTGCCAATGAATGGGCATATGATGACGGTGCATTTCGTGTAAGTTTTCTCCACATGGGTTGTGTACATTCAACTTCATCTGGATCTATGGGTGTATCCCCGTTATTTGGCTTGATGTAATAGATCATCTCTATGATGGCTGATTCCCTCAGAGACTGGATGTCTTTGTCTATAGTAGTCCACTTGGCCGAACGACTCATAACATCATCCTTGTATGCAAACCTTTCTTTCATAGCTGCCAAGAGCCGCCTCCAAAGGCTGAGGGACTTTTCCTCTCTTGCAATTGCTTTGTCAATTCCCCCTTCTCTAGCAAGTGATCCCAGCTGCTTGGCTTCTGTACCTTCTAGTTCATGACCATCGGCCCCATTGTCCCAGCATCGGAGTAACCAGGTGATGATGTGCTCCCCTGGTTGACGGGTAAAATCTTTTCGCATATTCCATAGCTCGGTTGAGGTCTGAGGTTGAGAAGTTACCTCTTCTTCTTCTTCTTCTTTGTCATGTGATGATGACTCCTGATCAGATTCTAGACTGGGTGGTGAATTAATTGTTTCTTCAACTCGCTTCACCCTTCTTGCCTCTGTTTTGCTTGTTCTCTTGCGTACAGGGGCAACCGATATCGTTACAAATTGGTCCTCTGGTTTGGCTGCAGTGATTATCACTGAGGTTTGAGTAGCAACTGTACTTGTTGCTGGGGGTGGTGTAGCTGCTGTGCTTGGAGCTGGGGTAACTGCGCTGTCTGTTGCAGCCGACGTTTGAGCAGCTGCTATACTTGCCATTGGGGTAGCTGTGCTATTCATTGCAGCCAAAGTTTGAGTAACAACTGTACTTGTCCCTGGGGGTGGTGAAGCTGCTGTGCCTGGAGCTGGACCCCAGACAAGACCCAAACCTGACTCTGCTTAACTCTTGAAATCAGCTGTGGGCAAAACACACTCTGTATGTGTGCCAACATGGTGATCCCCATCACGATCAGCAAACAAGTCTCAACAGCATTAAAAAGCCATTCAAAAAATTCAAAACTCTCAAATGTACATGGTCTGGGGGGAGGACTGGGAGGGTAAAAGGATGTCTCCTTCACAGGTTGAGCACCTGAGAAGGAGAAAAAAGATGTGTAATTGCTAAGCACTTCTATTATATACCTCCCAAAGTATAAAGGTGGTGACCACACTGAGAACATAAGCCAGATCAGTTTCATGATCAATGATTCTATTGTATTACAAGTCATTACCATAAAGTACAATGAGACAAAAACCTTAGCCCGAGCCCCACATTTGAAAAACACTAATACAGCAAATAGCGGATGGAAGTAAGATATGATATACTGAAACTGTGAGATCAAGAGGAACAACCTTGAGAGCCAATAAATCAGCATTGTGACGAGTGACTATTAATCCGGACTATTATCTCAACCCTTCGTGCCCCACGTTGGGTGCCAAAAGAACTGTTGTGTTGTTGTTGGGCGCCAAAAGAGCTAGCCAGACAGCTTGTTCACTCACTCCCAGTAAGTGGTGCCGGGCTGAGCGCAACTGACGACCCCTCCCTCCCCGCCCCCGGCCTCTCCCAGAGGAACAGGGAGGAGGATCGAAAGAGTGCAACTCCTACGGGTTGAGACAAGAACAGTCCAGCAACCAATGTACAACACAAATCACCACCGCTACCACCAACTACAACAATGATAAGAGAAACTAACAAGGGAGGAGAATACAATACCACCGGCCAAGAAACAAGTCCCACCCGGAAGCCCGTGTCCTTCTGGGTAACTCCCAGTTACCCCCTTCCCTGGCATGACGTGCTGTGGTATGGAATAAGTCTTTGGCTAGCCTGGGTCAGGCACTCTGTCTCTGCTTCCTCCCGGCTTCCCCTCCTCCCTGGCAGAGCATGAGCCTCACAAAGTCCTTGGTCAGGGTAAACATCACTTTGCAACAACCGAAAACATCGGTATCACCAGCACTGTTCCCAGGCTGAAAGTCAAAACACAACACTGCACCAGCTACCATGAAGGAGAAACATGACTGCTACTGCTGAACCCAGGACATGCATATAGCGAATGGTCGTAGTGAAAGTCCCTGATGTTCTCAGTGACCAAGATCCAGGTGATGCAGTTGGACTGTAGTGCATGACCTCTTTCTCTCCTTTTCTCTTTCCTGCTTCTCAGCCCCTTTCCCACAATAAAAACGGAAAGTTACATCTACTCTCAACATAGTTAACATCTTAAATTGTCAACATCTTAATTAAAATGTCAACCTTTTGAAGAATTAATTAAAAGGTCAACACCTTAGATGGAGGAACAGGATGTTTTCTGGCTTCACCAAGTATCTTTCCCACTTGCTTTACAACACATTGTTGTTGCAGACTTTAGCACTGAAACATCCTTTCTGGCACTTCCTTTGAGCAACTATACTACCTCTTCATTTGATCATTTACACTTAAGTATTAATTATGCATTTATGCTTGCCTGTTTTGCACAATGCTTGCTGCATTTTTCAAATACTCCTCCCACTAGGGTATGTAGGTGTTATACCACAACAGTAATATGACACTTTAAATGTGTAGCAGTTTAATAAATCGTAGAATCATAGACTTTTTTAGGTTGGAAAAGACTTTTAAGGTCACCGAGTCCAGCCAGCTGTTAACCAAGCACTACCAAATCCACCACTTAAATCATGCCCCTAAGTGGCACAATTACACATCTTTTAAACACCTCCAGGGGTGGTGACTCCACCACTTCCCTGGGAAGCCTGCTCCAATGCTTGACAGCCATTTTAGACTTAAACATCCCCTTGCTTATATACTGCTATAATTATACTATTTCAGTAAGTTTACATCTGTTTTCAAGACAAGAAACTATGAATTGTACTTTTTTTTTAGTCTATCACTAATTCATGGGTAGAACAAGTTTCTGGTCTGACTACACCTTTTTACTGGCAAGCTTAGTTAAGAATGGGGCTAATACAATTACTACAAGTAATGAGGTAATCAGTCTGCAACACAAAAAGCCTGGCAAGAAGCTACTTAGAAGAGCTGGTTATTTTCCAATGGAACAGTGCAGTGAACAAGATATTGCAAATGCAGATTCATGTCAAACCATTCAAATTTCATGCAACAAAACAGGAAATACTTGATATATAGCTATATTATAGCAAGACTTTTGACTCAGTTTGAAACACATTTTCATGTTAAAAAGATGGAGTCATATTATTATAGAAGTATAATGTTACAGAAATAATAATAGAAGAACATACATTAAATATATAACTTCAGCAGAAATGTACATATGAAGTGATTGTTCAAAGATCAGCAATATTTTCATCAATTTTAGGGGTGATAGAAGGAACAGTGTTAACTTTTAAATTAGTAGTTTATTCAATCTGAGATGGCTTAAAAGGACCCTGGAGAACAAATTAGAGTTCAGAATGGATT